GGGGGCCGAGGGAGGGCCGCCGCGCCATGGTGTGAGCCCCGCGGCCCGCGCTCGCCGCGCCGCGCTCCTCTCCGACCAGACGACACGCCGCGCCGGCGGCGGCCTGCCCGTGCGGCCCGAGCCCCGGCGCCGCCGAGCCCCTGCCTGTCGCTCGCTCGCTTGCCCGCTCCCGGGGCGGCGATCCGGGGAAGATGGCGAACGACTCTCCCGCGAAGAGCCTGGTGGACATCGACCTGTCGTCCCTGCGGGTGAGTGCGGCCGCGCCCTGCGCGCCGCGGTGGACACGGACACCCGCGGGCGCGGCGGCCCCTTTGTCTGCTGGGCGAGCGGGCGGGCGGGTGCCCCGGCGCTCCAGGGGACCCGGCGGGGCGAGCCTTTGTCACCGCCCTGCATCCCTCCCTCCGCCCGCTCGCCCTCCTCGGTTGGGGTCCCTCTTTTGAGATGATAACCTCCCCCTCCTCTCTCCCCAGGACCCTGCTGGGATATTTGAGCTGGTGGAAGTGGTTGGAAATGGCACCTATGGACAAGTCTATAAGGTCGGTGTGGGGCGCCTTTGTTCCCCGTGGCGTGGAGAAACTTCTTAGGGGACGAGGGAAAGGGTGACGGAACGCTGCTGACTGCAGGCCGTGCCGCCTGGCCAAAGTTGGGAAAGGGGTTTCATCTGGCTTTTCTTTTTCTTTTTTCTTTTTTTTCTTTTTGTTTTTCGCCTGTGTTCAGACTGGCCTTAAAAGACCTCATTTCCTGGCTTTGAGATAAAGGAAATAAGCTACACTGTTAGGCATGCACTTAGCTTCAGCAAAATAGAAAAGGAATTCTGTGTTCGAGGGCGACCAGAGGGTCTTACCCCAACCCCCCTTTTCTCCAAATCTGGCCTCCATGCGTTTGCATTTGTACATGAATTAAAATTCAGTGTAGACAGGCCTTGCCTATGATTACACTCAACCACTGTCTTGGTCTTCTTGAGAATTGTCATCATGCTTCTGCCTAAGGAGTGCTTGCCAAAGGATTTAACTTGGGGAGGTTAGCGTTACCTGGAACTGCTTTGAAAGCCCAGGCCAGCATACCGTCTTCTGGTGGACAGTATTTTCGAGTGTACTTTTGGCCCACGGGAACAGAAGGACTTACAGTGTGGGGATTATAAAATGTGAATTCCAGGAATAACCTGTGTGACAGCTGTGTAATTGAGATAGCTAGGAGAGAGGGCAAGGAGTAGAGAGGATGCCGGGCTTCACACCCGCCACTCCTGGTCTTTCTCTTTCTTTAAATTTATCCACCTCTCCCGGCTGCAAATAAAACTAAGGAATTTGTTGGTCTGTGCTCAGTAGCTGGCACCTAATGTTGCTAACTGTTGTTCATTCTGTTTTGCTCGTTCTAGAAGAAGGCTCAGGCTCCGAAGTATGAAAACACAAACAAAGCAAAAAAAAAAAAAAAAAAAAAACAAAGAAAAAACCTTTACATTCTGTTTCCTGATTTCTTTCTTGTTGGTAAACGGTTTTCTGGAATAATCTTTGCTTGGGGAGTTTTCTAGTTACTGGGACTGGGTCAAGGTTGAGCTACACACACACACACACACACACAAAATTATCTTATGAAGGAGGGCTTTGTGGCTCGCCATGAAGAATTGTCATTGTTTTCCTAAAAATGGGGGTGGTGATTGAAGCTGACTGTAGACATTTTCTGAGGCCAAATTAAGTGTGGATTCTATTGTCCCTTTTCTGTTTTATGAATAGGGTTTATGTGCTCCTGATTGCTTCTCCCAGCTCTTGCTTCCCCCTTTCCCCACCAAGGGGCCTGCATGGTGGGATTGACAGGCCTGTGGTCTGAGCCTGAGTCAGTACTCTTAGGTGATCTCAAGTGAATTAGCATGTTTTGTTGGTTAACTGTTGGGGCCTGGGCCAGATTTTTGAATTTGAAAGGGAGCCCTGTTAACAGCCTGCTGGGCCCAACTGAATTTGGAAGGCTTTGGAAAATTTTGGAAAAGATTGTGTTGCAATTCACTGGAGTGGCTGGCTGGTACTGGCTTAAACACTCTTCCCAGCTCCAGAGTTTGTTTAAGCACCGGTTGGTTTTTTTCTAACCTAGTTTTTCTGGCCAGATCTAAGTTGTGAGCAGACTCTTCCAAGTGAGTTAGCCAGAGCTTGTTTTTGACCTGATTACACAGTAGTTGGATTGTTTGTGTCTCCCTGGGTCAGCGTGGAAACTGTGGGTAGAGAAGTAAGCCAGAAAGCACTAGTGCCTTTTAAAAAGGCCAGCGTAGATGTAGATGGGGATTTAGTTGGTTTTAAGAGGTGGACACTTTGTGGTGTTAATCTGAGTGGGTTCTTCGTTCTCTCTCTCTTTCCCCCTCCCCAGGCTTTTGAAGTAGATTTGCTAAACACTGCTTTTGGAGAGTATCAGGGATGTGCTGACTACACCCAGTGCAGTTGAAAAGTCTTCATTGCAAATCTGTTAAGACACTGATGTAAAAGTTGGCGTGTAAACCATACATAGTAGTGCTTGGTTTTACTCACATTCCACCCCTACCCCCACTCCCAATCTTTAAGGATATCTTTAAGCATGCATATAGTTTTTATAGCTCAGCTACTAGCCCACTATTGGTTTTTGGTGTATATATTCTTCCTTTCCTATGTCTTGAACTTAAGATAACGTTTTATTGATAAGTACTCCAGGTTTGTTTTTCTTTTTAAACATTGTCGCAATGTTATTCCATACTTAAACACATCAGATTTCCTTTAGTGTGTCTTGCCTGTCTCAGTACATGCTACTGCATGTACTAGCAGATCAGTACAGGCTACTAAGTTTATGAACTGGTACAAGAACTAGAAACGGCATCTGTTTTTCTTTTAAATGCATACTGTTGTGCAGATTGGTTTAGTTTCCATTTTTATTGGTTGGCATGGGGTAGGTTATTAATAGGAGAATTTATTAACAGCTATAAAGACAAATTTTAAGAAAAACATTTTTGGGTAAACCATTAACTGAACAACCTAGAGTCCTAAATTATTTCAGCGATATATATATATATATATATGTATATACATGTAAACACACATATACACATGTGTGTGTTCCTCCATACATGTGTTTGTATATGGGCATGCATGCATGTTGTGTGTACATGTATATGAAGGCCTAAGTTCGATGTCTGGTATCTTCCTTGATTGTTTTCTACCTTGTAAATTGTGGAAGGATCTCTCACTGAAAACCAGGGCCTGCCAGTTCAGCTAGTCTAGTTCAAGGTCCCCTATGTCTATCTCCCACAGGCTGGGATTACTTAGGGTCACCGTGTCCACCTAGGTAATGGGAATCTGAATTCCCATCCTTACACTTGCTCAGCGAGTGCTCTGCCTCCTGAGCCACCCTGCCAGCCCCTCTGTTCCATAGCATAGTGAGGCAAGTTGCTTATTTAGAGGATGTATTTAAATAACATGAAGAGACTGGAAGTGAAATCGAGGTTTCTGTGAAGATGATTCTTTGAGGCTACATTCTGGTTTTTGAAATAGTTTTAATACGAGTGGGCTGGTGCGGTTGAATCCTGTCTGCCATCTTTTCTTCAAAGAGGAGTTAAGATGTTAGAGAGATGGCCCAGCAGCCAAGAATGCTTGCTGTGCTGGCATGAGGACTTTCTCAAATCCCTAGCACCCACATAAAAAGCTGGATTTGCCTGTACCAGTACTGTAGCAATGTGAGGAGGTTGGAGTTGGGAGGACATCAGATGCATGGAGATCCTTCCGGGAGTAAGGCAGGCCGGGGGAGGGGAGTGATAGAGGAACATGTCCTCTGGTGGCTGGGTGGTGAACACAGGCATGTGTAGCCATAAACACGAACACTTCCACATGTTCATATTTGAAATTGAAAGACAATGGATTTTCTTGAGAGAAATATATTTCTAGCCTTAGATATTTGAAGGATTATGTGAAAAGATACTGATAAAATTAAAGCTTAGAAAAAATAATTATGGTACTTCAGTGAGCAAGTGCTTGCCCTACTGTGAGCTGGGCCTTCAGTTCTGTCTCTGTAAACCTACTGTATGTAGAGTTCTGTTGACAAGGTTATATTCAGAATACCATACATGAGGAATGTCTGTAGCAGTGGCCTGTCTGTGTACTAGTTGTCCAGGTTTGATAAATGGTGAGATTTAATTATTATCGTCACTGAGGACAGTTATAGTGTGGAAGATTAAGGCTGGCAAAAGCTTGTTGCCATGTTACTTTGGGTTTATCTTTCCTTTTGATTATTTGAGAATTGATTTTTTTTTCTTGGGTAACTACTACTATTTTATATTTTGCCAACATACAGCCATCCCAAGAAGGAGGATTATGTTTTAAAGAGATTGTGTTGTGTCAGAGAAGAATTTAGTGATAGTTCTTGCTGGAGTGGGGGGGGGGGGTCTGAAATCTGGGTAGATTTGGGGAGGTGCTGTAGTTATGGAGGGTAGACCAGATGGGTTCTGTTTTGCTGTCCTTGGAGGAGGGGCTTCATGTGAACTGGGAGGTTAAGCAGGAGGCAAGTTTAGGACCCAAGGCCTTGCAGGATATAAGGGCAGCTAACACCTAGTTACTTAAGAAAGGCAGAGAGGGATGAGGGTGTGTGGAGGAGGAAGCTCCAAGAGCAGCCATCGAGCCAGACTAGGGGAATGACAGTGTCTGGAAGGCAGTCTGTGGGCGGGAACTTAGGCACGACATCATTCCGTAAGCACTGAGGATCTATTAATGGGTATTATTGGGCTTGGGGATCCCTAAGAGTAGAGAACGCCATCAGATGATATTCTGGGAAGAACAGTTAAGATGGTTGGCCCAGGACAGAGGTTCTGTACCTAGGGGTTGCAGAATGACCCTTTCACAGAGGGTCTCTCAAGGGAGACCATGGGAAAACACAGATGCTTACGATTCATAACAGTAGCAAAATTGCAGTTATGAAGTAGCAACAAAAGTAATTTTATGTCTGGGGGTCACCATAAAGGGATGCAGCAGTAGGAAGGTTGAGGACCACTGAGCTAGGAATAAGTCTAGAGAGCAGAGGTCTGGGCAGGGGACTGGGAAGATGGAGAGGGAGCAAAGTTGAGGCAGATACCTGGGGGTGCATCTACAAATTGTAGGCATTGGTTCTCGATTTTAAATGGAGTTCTTTCCACTAGATAGGGCGGAACTTCTGTGGACCCGGTAGGAGTGCTACGGGGTTGGTTCTGATTGTTACTCAAGGTTAAAGCGCCTCAACTGTTGTCTGGCCAGTAGAGCATCTCTAGTTCCTGGGAGGTGAAGCCATCCAGTGGGCCCTGAGAATTCTGAGCGAGATGTTCCATCCGGAGGAGTGTCAGCTGACCTGCAGCTCAGAGGCATGTTCAGACGTGTTCTGAGACTTGGGTTTCCTTAATGCTGGAAGGATCCGGGACGTGGGTAAGATGGGAGGAAGCCAGCCTGTTGAAAGAAGTACTGCTGTGTAGCTCTTAAGACTATCAATCCCAAACTTTAACCTGCTGCTTCCTGAAAGCAGGGACATCAAAGCCAGACAGAAATCCACCCTTCTCTGATTTTAA